CTCAAACTAAGTCGTCAGCACTAATTCCTGAGTTGCAGGACACATCGGCCACATAACCACAACGACCGAGTATTGCTAATCAACAGCACATGATGTCATTATCGATTGGCAGCGACTGAACTTAGAAAGACTCCGAGCTCAAGCTTTTAGTGAATTAGAAGTCGATCTCTAAAGTTTTACACATACTAAAATTAAGTAGTAGTAAGTGTATGTCTGTATATTTTACATATGCATACATATATTCATATAGGTGTTTATTTAAGGTGAAAATGAAAACCTAAATAATGACCCGCCTGCGCTAACGGTACACGCTTATGATAGAGCAGACACCAGTGAGGATGATAGAATGAGCATGAAGTCGTATTACGAAGTTAGCCGACTGTCGAAAATTCACCAATATTTAATTCATCATTATTCTGGGGGCGACAACATGTCGAGCTATTACTAGTCACCAATACCAATATTATCACTATTGGTTTATAATGATATTTAATAAAGAGCATTGCATTCATAAGCTTATTTTTTATGTATTTTGTATTTTTTTTAATCATATTCTTGAATAGAATAGAATAAATCTTTATCGATGATAGAATATATCATTTATATAAGTGACTTCACCGCTTGCCATTAGGTGAACCACCAGATTGTTTGCTATTCCAATTATACAAATATAGAGAACCATCATAGTCATATCATTCTTTAAAAATAACACGTAGATAACACCGCCCGTTGGTATCACCGTGAATGCAAAACGCTACGAGGGATTTATAATAATGTTAAGGCTTATTATTCGTACTCATAGATTAAGGCTTAAACTTTATTGATACGAACTGTGTACATAGCATTTACATAACATTTACTTTGTGACAGAGCTTGGCATAATTTAATTATTGTTTCTAGGTACTGGCAGACTATATATAAAACGATATATAATCTTCTATCCGCAATATAGAAGATTATATATCGTTTTACTTCATAAAATGTAAATTAAAACTATATTTCTAATTAGTACCGATATCAGTTAATATAAAACAAAATTTCCAGTTTTTGTATGCAATTTATATTGGTATTATATACATGCACAGAATAATTCACACCAAGCTATCTAGTCCCAAACTAAGCAGAGCTTGTACTATGTTTATAGGTTCAAGCTTCATGCTCTCTGATGTTGAAAATGTGTGGGAGCTATTATAGCACAGATGAGCATAGAGATACACAGACGTGTCATATTTCAAAGAGTTCTCTTATTTTTACGTCATGAGATTAAAAAATGTGCAACGCTAGTGTTCTTATGCGTCAATGAGCACACTAATTGAAACCTTGATTTTTGTCAAATTGATAGCCATTGACAGCATTTTTTACATGCCTTATATCATTAATTTTTAAGAAAAAGTTAAGTTTAATTTATCAGTCGCTTTTACTCTCTCTCTACTTTGTAATGCGCACTTTTTAATTTAGTCATATTCCACGGATTCCACGAGTTCCACGAATCCTATTTCTATGGACTTAAAATTATTTTCTAATGCGTATTAAAAAATTACTATCATATTATAAACTTAATGAACAATTCTGTATACAGTTCAGTGCTACTTCGCAAGCAGGAGCGAGAAGAAAATGGTTTTCATGCAACTTTCATTTCATGTAACGTCAAAACTGTAGCAGATGCCACCGTACATATACGTCTAACTATATACAACAGGTAAATTGGATAAATAATACGTAAAAATAAGAATATGCCTGCACGACAGTTGTTCCAGCTGGAGTAATTAGAGGCATTAACAGCACTCGACACCATGCCTAGTTTCGTCATGCATATTTCAATCGAACGTACCAACCTGTGATCCAACCGCGCAGTAACTTGGATCATTTGGTTTGTAGTAAATTTTATTTTCTACAGTTCTGAACTCACGACATTTAAGGTCTAACGCGTGTTAACTTTTTTGTGTTATACAATCTATTAGAAAATACAAGCCGTATTGATTACAACTTTGTTATTTATATCAAATATCTGTTATTTTGATCTTCTCGAGTAGATCAACATAACAGATATTTAAATCGTTAGATAAACTTCCCGAATAGTTAATTACGAAATTATACTATCTACCGTGAATACTGTAATCAAGTAAATTAAATTAAAGCGGGTTCTAGAAACAAGGGTAAACAGGCATAAATTCTAGGGATGGGCTGTACTATGACGGAATTTTAATCGGAATCTAAAGTTTACGTACCCACTCTCTCAGTTTACAGAACAACGGCGCGCCTACTGATTTTAGGATGTACGGCCTAGGCATATACCTAACTACATCTGTAGAGGCAACCAAGTATGTAAATACTTCTTTAATTGAAATTTAGTGCTCTAGAAAGGATTTTTATAATATGCTGTAGAAACGACTAAAAATTAAATGAATGCAATCACAATACTAAATAAAACGTAATTTTCTTTCTAATTATCTATCTATATTACATATATTTGTACTATTAGAAATACAATAATTTAATTAGTGTTCAACATTTTCTATATCTGCTTATTTTATCAATTCGTAATATTCCACAATGATTGCGAAAGGTACCTAATTACTAATAATGAATAATTACTATCATTTATAACTTTTATAAAAGTTCTAACACTAGTAATATAATATTTTTACTTTGTTAAACATGTTAGTCAGTAAATACTATAGTTTCATTATAATTTGAATCCTGTTCTTTAACTTTTAATTTATCTGTTCTTCTAATCTTATTAAATAAGTGCTTATTAAACTTATAGATTAAAGGTCTGGAAGTAGTAATAACTAATAAGCATCTTTCATATTCCTAAAAGCAACGTAACTATATTACATATCAATATAAGCTTACACAATATAATTCAACAAAATTAAATTATCTTTAAAGATCCGTTTCTAACGATATTAATTCCTAATTACACTCGGTACGTAGATTAATTTAGAATACGAGCTAAATGTGCACAAGTTTGCCCGTCTAATTTGCTCGGCTTTAGAGCAAAGACGTGTTTCCTTATAGAGTGTAGATTCCAGAGGAGTTATTTAACAAATTTTACATGCGGCTCAAGTTTTAACTTCACCACCATATGTTTGCATTACCACTCGCGAATGCCTTTGGAGTTGTATTCTAATGAGACCGTACGATGAATGTAGATACTAGAGAAATTTTGAGATACTTTAAGATTAAATAAAGTCAAATATAATCGAACAAATGTAATTAAGTTAATTTCCATATACGAAACTAGATGTTATCTAAATAATATTGTCAAGTTGATATTACCAAAAATCCTTGTCAGCGGATGCTCACCTTATAAGATAAACATAAGTTACAAGTTTAGTAGATTGGACTATTTGTTGATAGTTAAGTACAATTTATAACTATAATTTATAATACCTATAAGTATAAATTATTCTGATTTGAAATAGTTAACTCAGAATAAATTTGATAACATAGAAATTACTTAATTAGGACTTTATTGTTTCTAATTCATTTAGAACAAATAATAAATAAGAAGATTTACGTGTAACCTACTATCTAGAAAAGTACAGAGGCTGTAATAAATAATCCTAGTGTAATAAAAGCCGAAATACGAGAGCTCCGCAAAGAATCGTCGCAACAAGGAGCGTATTATTCAGTGTCACCGGCGAGACGTGTCTCGTAATATATGCTTTAATAAAAGGGTTTCAATTCACACCCGAACATACATCACCCGAAGAAACCCGAAGTATCAATAATATCGAAAAAGATCTTCAATTTATTATTCATTGAAGTCGGTGGGCGGGGCGGGCCGCTATATAAGTCCTGGGATAGCCACTAAATCATCGTTTGCACGCGGTGGAGGGATCTACGGCCACTTTTTATATTTTTTTATCGGAAACAAATATAACGATTGTACTGCAGAATAATTACAATTCGGATTCCGTTTTCAATGCACACGGGGCTCTCGTTTGTTCTCAAATAAATTGTTTCTCTGAGCCTATTGGCTTTTCAAACAACTGAGTCGGGATATCGTGACCTTCATTCATATATCCCCGATTCGTGCATTAACAATGTATTCAGACCTAAACAAAGAGTAGCAGGTGGATCGTGGGCACGCTGCGATGCTATGCCAACTGAAAGATTCCATAAAAACTGTAATGGTACCCTCGTCACGTCCGGACATCTTATTTATCTAGTCACGGGCAAAATCATTGTTTTCTTTTTCGTTGTGTTGAGGCAAAAAACACGCCTTATTACCGCCACTGGCTAACAGATGAACTGCTGAACAGGCCCATTGTCCCCGATCTTTGTGTGTGACGTTTGTTTCTCGCAAACCCAAGAAAAAATTGTCCTTTTCCGTAGAGATACTTCTATTTATTCATGTCTTTTCACGTTTGAATTATTGAATTAGTTACATAGATTACATACATACATTATATTTATTATTTTTGGATTAGATAAATATTATTATATACAATGCCTATATAATACATATTTACATTTTTATTAAATCGGAACATAAAACATTTAAAATCAAATCCAAATAAAAAATATAAAATGTAAGTGAATATTGACGACACAGAGAAGACACTGTTAAACATAAATTTCAATCAATTTAAAAGTTCAAATAAATCTATAGTAATTACACTCTCACATACATAATTAAAAAGGATACATACATATACAAATGTTGTATGTATACAGAAAGCGTATATCCACAAATTGAGCTGGATTTTGATTTCATCAAAGGTTCATTAATCATGAATAATAAATGCATAATTTTCGTGTTCATTTTCAGCCGTCTAATTATAAAGTCCTTGTTTCTCATTACATGCTCAAGTTTGTACAACATGTTACAACAATATGTAGGTGCTGAACCTTCAAATTAATTATTAAGACTTAAAGGTTACTTTTACCATAATATTAGGACTATTAAATCTGATAATGACTTAATCTAGTAACTGTAGCAATTGGTATATAAATTTATGTTACACGAAAGTGTTATACTTTTATTTTCTTTATCTCGCTTGCATGTGTCGCAGTAACGTAAAGAAAGAATACGCTGAATTCATTATCTGTAATTGAAGAATTTTTTAATTATTTTTGATTTTTTTTATTATCATGGTTTATACTTAATTATATTAACTCTACAATAAGTGCTAAATTCAATGCAGCAATCGCATTCTGGAACGTGTAGGTATCGATGGGAAAAAAATACAAAATTATATTCAATACGTATTCAAAGGTCCTTTACAATGTTATGCATATCTGGATATTTAATTTTGCAGTGATTATCTTTTTGTGACATCCGATATTTCATTAATTCAATTCCAATGTTCCAAGAATTCTGGTCGGGTCGACTGGCAGTGAATGTAAACAGTTATTGCAAGTAGACACACATTGGTGTACTCACTTTTTTAGTTTTTATTAAATGTACCGTCACCACTACTACGGAAATTGATATTTGGTGGTTCCGATAAAATAATTTCTCAAACCAATTTCCCAATCGAAATCTTGAGAGCACACACTAATTCATGATTGAATAATGATCATGAATCATATGAAATGAATGAAATTTTAGGTTTTTATACGTAAGGTAATCTTATGTCATTTAATTCTTAGAAGTAATCAATATAATAATAATTGTACTCAAAGGAAACTTTAATGTTTCGACATTACCGGAAAATATTATATAACACAATACTTCATCTATGATGTGGTGTAATTTAATCATGTAAATCCAGGTATATATTAATATAATTGAATTCCAGTGAATACACTTAATTCACTGGAAAACTCTAAACATTTAAATTCAACATAGTCTGTAGGATAATTTAATGACAAGTAAGTATACTTACAGAAGTAAAAGTATTTAGACACAATACAAACATTTTCCCGCCAACTATGCAGAGTGGAACGTTGACTCTTTCAACAAACAGTCTTAGGCTGCTTTTAAATCTACGAGATCTTGGTATCCAGGCACAGCTATATGCAGCTATGGTAAGCGATTGGCTCTACAAAACAGAGTGTTTGAAATACTTTGAAAAAAATATTTATTACAATAAGTAGATATGATAATGGTTTTCAATTACATGAAAGACGAAGTATGTTATAACCAGGACTCGCATATAAATAGGTTTTTTATTTATGTAATTATATATGTATCAAATATTATTTATCAACGTATGAAGTTTCTACACGAACCAGATGGAGCATGTTTAGGTTTATCTAGTAATATACATATATAATAAGATAAATTGAGAATTTGTTATTATATATATACGGACAAAAGATTTAGGAAAAGTGATCATTAGCCTATTTGAACAGATCTAGAGCTTGAATAATATTTATTTTTTATATTTTCTATAAATACTATATAAATATTATACCTTATCCACTATTTTAGACCCAAACCAACTTGGTACTAATATTTGCAGGATCACAATGCACATATATGTAACAAGAAAAATGTCATATGCAATAGGAGCAGGCTGTAATACAAAATAAAATAATATTATATGAGAATATTATAATGATTATTAAAAGGTTAATCTTTTTCAAGGTTAATTAAGGTTTATTACTTATGATTATTACATCAAAACTTACCATTGTCATTCTGAAAAGACAAACGCAAATAATGCATGAAGCCATACTAAACTGCACGAATATAATAAAACTAAAAACACGCTGTACTTGACTACAAAATCTGTAGAGAAAATTGTTAAAATTAATTCCTTTTAAACATTACTGATAATTATTAAATTGCCTAAACTGTTCAGAATACCTGGCTATTTCTTCAAAATGTTTAACACAGTTATGTATTCTCTCTATAGTAGCTGTTTCACAATAAATTTCGTTAACATTTGTCAAATCAGTTACATTTCTTAATTTTAAAGCAAGTACATCCAGTTGCGCTATAGTCAATACCATTAAACCCAGAATAAAAGTATCGACATTAAGATTTATTAGTATTATGTATTGTATTCCGAAGCATTGGTACAAATATAACAAATATTTAAATTTATCAAAAAACTCTTTGGAAAGAAAACTGTAGTCACATGCTGGTAACTGCAAATCCTCTGAGAAAACTAAATGCATTATAATCGGAACTATGATATGGGCTATATGAGATGCAAGCGATACGATAGCTACGATTTTCCAATATGTTATATTAAATGAATTTGCTCTCTTAATTATTTTTAATTCATCGTCGTTGTTAGGTTGAAATATATCTCTTTGCAAACTATAGAATATATTTGTTATTAAATCACGTGCTGTTAAAAATGTGATGGCTTTCGATAGTGAAACTAATGCTGTAAAATAAAACAAAATATTTTCGATGAACAAGTCTAAGTGTTTCGTTATGAAAAATAAGTTGAATGTTATCAACATATCAAATATAAAAACCATAACTGCAATAAATATTTTAGATAAAATATTATACTGCTTCCACGAATAATTAGCCGGCCATAATCCAATGATTTTCCAAATTTTTATATTTATTTCAAAACAGTTTATCAGATTCAATGATTCCATTCTTTGTAAATTAGGTGTGGATGAAGATTACTTTTCTATTTCAATGCAACAAAAGAAAATGTTTCTCGGACTGCGTTTAATACCGCAGTTGGCTGCACGGCGGACGGCTTCTAATAGATTGAGGTCACAAAGGCTTAGCTTGTTATTAGCGTGGCGACTTTTAGAAATTGCAATTCTTTAATTAAACGGAACAAACGGCTCTATTAATCTATTCTCTTAGAATTTTAATATCTTTGATTATTAGAGGAGTAAAAAGACTTGATTGCTTTCAATATTCTTTTTAGAAGTCTTCAATTAGTAGCTATAATTTTAAGTATGTAGACAAAAAATAATGAATATGAATACTTAGTCTATGCAAATGAATGTAGGTTAATTGCGGGAAAGGCATTTATAAATGAGATGCAATTAGTAGAGGTGACGCCTGAGCCTTCCACCTGCAAGGGCTCAGAAATTCACATTAATTAATAGACTAGGCACTAAACTCCTGAGCATTATTCTAAAGTTTTTAATGCTAATTAGTACCAATTTATTTTCTGTTAATACATTTTTTATAAATGCTTTATTAAAAATATAAAATAAAGGTATGGTTCAGCTTAAGGAAAGTAAGAAACCTTAGGAATAGAAATGATAGGAGTTGTAGCGACACTGCTGTCTCTCTATATTACATACTCAGCTCCCCAACGTTTCGTTCTATCCACAGGATGTTATGTACGCTGCAGTAAAGTATTAATGGGGTATTATGGTTATATGCTTTCTTTTAATATTATATATTTTTATGTAAATAAAATGACAAACACTGTCGCTTACCGTTAACCTGTTGGTAAGAGATAACCCTAACGTAATACATAAAAGGCAGAATCTACATGATCATGTGACAGTATCATGTATCACTCATGCGTTGTCATTCCAAAGGATTAAGATGTCATGTCTCGTGTACTATAATTACACATCCCTATCTCCTCCTTACACTGAAACACAGCTTATAAAGTAAGCTGCTTGACGACTAAACTAGGTGAAATTCAGCTAGTTATATAGACGACTTTCTAGAAACTCTACCTTGATAGAAAACTATTATTATTTTCACATAACTACTTTAAATCTGCCACAATATTGACGTAAGTTACAATATTCATATTAATTCACTAATTATGTGATTTCACAAAACATTTAAATAATATTCTGTTCCGTTACCAAAGTTTTTATGTTGTATTTCCTTTTGCAGGACAAAGTTTTAGCTCAACAGGTAACTTCAACTCGGAAAATTGTTGTTCACAAGCGCAATAATATTCAATTCCTGCCTTAGTTCACTTAATCATTTCTATGTTTGTATATTTATTTATTTATTTTATTCGCAATTATAAATGTAATACTGCCAATTTTATGAATTTATTATTTAATAATTATAATATAAGAATTATATAATATTTGTTACTTAAGAATTAATGTTAACAAAGATTCATGATAACACCGTCTTTTGTAATTTTTGTAGTTATTACTCCTAATCTATGTTCTTTATAATATACTTCCAGTACAATGAAAAATTGATAAAATAAAAAGACGAATTGTCAAATGACACCGCCCATCTATGTACATCTAAGAAAAATATTAAAATATATCATTTTACTGTAATAAGTGTATATGAATCTGATCACCTTAAAATTTATAGGCCGCATGTCCCCGACCTCTCTCCTTACCAAACGTGCTACTATGGAAATTCTCTACAATACCTAATTAAACTCGATGAATTTTTTTCCCAGACATTTCACTAGTCAGATTTCCTTTATACAAGTTTATTTTAGAATTAAAAAACTCGTATTTCACCAAAAGAAAAAAATATCTTTGGTTCGCTCGTATGAACAATTCAAGATAATATAAAAATACGAAAACGGTGAAAAACTTCAGGAGAAGGTATAGCGAATTTTCAAAATAAAAATACAAATAATAATAATAATAATAATAAAACCAGTAAAAGTTCGATTTATCAAATTTATTATATCAAACGTCTACAGCAAAGGGAAGTATTTAAAAAACTATAATATTATTTGCGTCATAAAAAAACATTGCAATATGACTTCGTCCGAAACCAGCAAAATATTAAATATTAATTCACTGGTTCTGACTGAAATCGGGAAAGTAGCCCGCCATAACAGATAATTTGAATTTTTAAACAGACTGTAGCGACCGATTAATCCCCGCCAGTAGCCCGGGTTTTCTTATAATAAATGATCTAAATTATACAGCCGCAATTCAACTTCTAATTTTCGAAGCGTTAATTTTGGAAGTACTTTTGATTTAATAGGTCTTTGTTACGACGAAGGCAATGTAAGTATAAATACAAAGATTTGTTAAATATTTGTATTAAAGATACAACCTCAAAATGTTCCCTTTTGCAAACGAATTGTAAATGTTTAGAATTGCTTTCTATTAGACCTGGGTTAAATCTGATGTGCTTGCATGTAAATTTACAGATTGCGCGGTAAATTATTTAGCATTGTTTTTATATCATTAGCGTCTACCGAAACAAATAGGGTCGTATTGTTTGCTACCCATAAATGCATAAATTTAAAATTCATCATTTAATCAAACATTGTTAACAAAGTGTTAATTAATAACAAAAAATATGCAATACAGTGATTTTTATATTCTATTTATCTACCAACTGTACATTACTTTCTAATAATCATGGAAATATTAAAGACATAGGTATTTATCTATAAAATAGTATTTCTTCAAGTAAACTCAATGCAAGCACTTTTGAATAACCATAAGTTTTTGATTCTAGTCATTCGGAACGCAGATTTATCACAAATAGAACGGTGAAGAAACATGTGTGTTGCTCTTTTGAATGAATGTTATTTTGAATAAATAAAGACGCAATACATGTATCGTATATAATTATTATATTAGTAATTAACAATTTCTACTTATCAAATATGAATGCTGTAAAAATATGGTAACCGAAACTTTGAAATTATTATCATAGTTTTAAACACCACTGCATATAAAACAAATAATAGATAATTTAGATAGACAGTGCGGATTTGAAACTTTCCATAACAACTTGTACAAAATACAAAATCAGTGTGATTTTATACATACATGGATAATGTATTTTTATGTACGTCAAAGACACTGTAAATGTTCTCCAGCAACTTGTATCCGAGACACGCACCCCAGTAATGGCCGAGCTCATTAGCACTATCCTGGAGAGCCCCTGTGTTAACAGATAACAAACTTCGCGGCGTATACCTAACAAAAGCAAAATTCAAGTTCCACCACTGGTGGTATGAAATACATGCCTTTATTGACACTTTAAACATCTAGGGGCGGTTTGAGAGAAATTGTATAGAGTAGCTATATAGTTTTAAGTTATGTGAAGAGATAGATGCCAATAGTTATTCATTTTCCTCGTGTTATAATTACTTTTACAAATAATCTTTCTATAAGAAATTGTAATTAACTTTTTTCAAAATTTTATAATTTGTAGTATAGTGTTAGTATAGTTGTATTAAATTTACGGTCTGAACTTAAATAACGTTAAAACGCATCTAGAGTTATAATTTCTCTGCCTACCTTATAGAAGGTCTGCCGTGAATATAGTTAATTAGTTTGTAATTATAATGCAAAACGTTGCAATAAATTTTATGCAAAACATGTTTCTAGTAGTAGCTCTTTGTATTCATTTTGTAAAGAAAACATAACTTTCAGCAACAGATTCGTGATTGCCACCATTCTTATAAAATGAAAACGAAATGAACTTAGATTTATGGCCATTATCCAAGCGACGACCATACCGTAAAAATAAAAATAACACCGTCCGCATTCACACAGGCTCGAGAGAAACTTATAAAAATACTTCTTAAGGCACAAACTTCTATCCAGCCCGTGTAAACAGTCTAAAATTCTTCAGGGTATCGTATATTTGCGGGGACATTACAGAGAACGTCCAAGTGACTGATAACAATGGAGCAAGTTTGTCCGTTTGCGTAGTTAATATGCAGAGATGTTGGCACATCGTCACTTGGGATGTCTGCAGCGTTAATGGCTTAGCTCATTATACGTATCTTTGTAGGCCGAATAAGCAATTACTTATGAGATACATGAAAAGTATTTTAAATTATTAAAAAAGGGTAAAGTAAGTTGTGCATTTGAAGCAAACTATGAATATGTAATGTGTAATTTCGCATATAATACACATTATTAATATTCGGGACTTTAAATGAATTATTTTAGAGGAATTAAGGTATAATCTTCATTAGCCGTAATCACGAGCTGCTAGCGGTGTCAGTGTCGGTAGGTGGCAGCAGTTTTTTTCAACACCGCAACTGAATTGAGACCCGATTAATGAAATTTATAACGTATATTTCGATTTCTTTAAACTAAAATATATGAGAAGAATTTTATACTAATTTTAAAAGAGTAACCCTTTTTTAAAGTTGTACCTTTGACTCAAATTTTATTTGAATGTGTAAACATCGATTTCAACAGAATCAATTTAGGCTCCTTATGTAACTCATTTAAATGTAAAATTACATCATTACTGGTTCGCATCCATCATGAACTTTTTACACAGTCTTCTACGTCGGACAAATTATGTACATATAATGACAACTTATTACTACTTAACACGCGAAGGTATTTTAATGTCCAGTACTATCTGCTAAACAATAATGAATCCAATAAACTAAACATAATTAAATAAAATAAAAGAATGCAATTACTTTAATGTATTTTTTTTTTGTCCTAATCCATTACATAAAATATCCTGACAACCTTTTTTTTTCTTGTCCATATTTAACTAAAAATATACTTTATATATTATTACTAGCTGTCCCGGTAAACGTTGTTTTGCCATATAAATTAATAACGCTATAAAAAAAATATTAGTTGGTGATAGAAGGGTGAAAATTTAGGGTTGTATGTATTTTTAACGACGCATAATAACAAAATTTAAATATTTTTCTCGCAAAAAATTAAAAAATAATGATAGAGATAGACAACCCTTGTCACTTAGGGTATGAAAAATAGATAGTAACCGATTCTCAGACCTACTGAATATGCATATTAAATTTCATAAAAATCGGTCTATCCATTTCGGAGGAGTATGGTAACTAACATTGTGACACGAGAATTTTCTATATAAGATAATATTTAAATCCAACATAACAAGGCGCCTATCTCTAGTAATTTTTTGTTTTATTATCTAGGTTTTGCCATTACCAAAAAGTTAGTCAGAAATTTGAATTGATATTTCTGTTTTTGTATTCGTAGTGGTATCAGATTCGATACCACACTATTTGTGTTATCCGTGTATAGCACACCAATTTTTCTTTGACCAATCCTTTTGTTCATCCCTATTATTTATTGGTTATAAAATTTCATGATAATAGAGAATATTAATATATCTCAGAACAATTCACACAGCGCCATCTAGACCCAAGTTAAGCTTCCTAAAGCTTGTGTTATGGGTACTAGATAACTGATACATATATACATAGATTTTTTTTGTAAATACATACATATTATACATAGAAAACACCCAGACCGAAACAAACAATCATACTCATGGATACAAATGTTTGTGCCGTGCGAGTGTGCTAGATCGCTAGACCACCCGAGGTCGTCTAATACATATATTATCGTATCAAATAAAAATGTATTAATTTCAAATGCAAGTATATATTTTTTTATTTTAAGTATTTAGCAATTAGTAAGCTAAGTTTATTTTAGAATTAACCAGATTCCATTCTTCTGTTCTATACTTATCTTGTTATAATATTTTTATTTCTTTTAGAATTTTATTTGTTTTGCGAAAGTAAATTATTTCAGATATTTTCATCTTGCCGATCTTGAACATTTCTCACAAGGGTTAAGAAGGAATATGCTGTTTTCATAACCTGAAGTTGAAGCAATGCTTAAATGAATACAAGACACAAAAACGACAAATGCTATACGTGTTTTTAAAATTAATTTAAATTAGTTGTAAAAAGAAAAAGTAGATAAAAGTTCTCGGTTGTCATTCTACTTTATTTTTATATTTAATTTTGGCAAATTTGAGTACCAAATTCAATAAATCAATGTATTTTAGAATAAAACTTTAACCGACGACAAGAGGTCACAGACAAAATGTTTGGTAATTTTCATTATCTTTATCCATATATAGATAAAGTTTGCCATACATTCCAACATTATAAATGAGGATAAGGAATTAAAATAGTAGTAATTAGATACTTAAATTCATTTTATGTGATTGATGATGTAATTTTAAAAATATTTACCGAAGTAAATGTGCCTAGAGATAGAGGGAACAGTTTTAGGCCCGTTAACACAATAGGAGATTTGGCACGTTCCATGAAAAGTTTTAAACTTCTCTTAAATTTCTCAGAGCCTGATGTCCATTCACTACTATATGCAGCGAATACTAAATTTTCACTCTGAAAAAAAATTATTTATTGTATTTTACATATGTGTAATTTTTTTTACAAATATGTATTTAAATGAAGTGCTATATTCTGTAACCATTTTGGATTTTAAACTCATAGTAGTTTAACAATGTAAATTCGAAAGTATACTGAACTGATTGTGTCTTTCGTTCATTTCAGTTATTACCAGTGTCCATTATCCTACTAGAATATTGTTATAAGGGACGTCCCCTAGTTCTCTTAATATATCAGTCATTTTTATACCTTATTCTTTCCATATATTGTAAAAGAAATAGTTGCACGACCCATAATAATTATTAAAAACATACCTCATAAGAGAGTAGCGTTCCCAAAAAACTAGGAATAAAAATTTGACTTAACATTGTCGAGAAATAAGTAACCATAAATGCCAAACTCTCCTTTGTAGATAGCTGTAACATAATACATTGTTTGCAGAACATTTACCACAACGGTTAACATTTTTTAACTACAGCGAATGATAAACAAGCTATCAATGATGACCCACTAATGGAAAGTGATACCTCACTAACCATCCCCTAGCAGACGTAAGTTTATTGGGGTTGATTCTGAAATCTTATTCTCTACCCTTTCTAAGAAAAGGATGGACTTGATTATTTAATGTTTCTAATAGATAAAAATAAACTACTGACTAAGTTGTAATAATTAATTATATCATGATGCATTTTAAAACAATCGAATATTAATTTTTATTTACCTTTTTCATATAAATCTAATGAGTTACAGGAACTTTTACAAAAAACTATATGTTATATAAGATAATAAATAATAAATAAATACTCACTCTCACATTTACAATACCAAGTAAGAATTTTGTTATTTAATTTCACATGCAAGTAACAAGTGTTTGAGTTAGTGAAAAAATATTTTTTTCTTTCATGTAATTATGGCAGATCAATTTAAAAACTTTAATAATTTTACATGTGTTAAGTTATTATCGAAAATACTTATATATTATTGTTTTCTCACCAATAGAAGCCCGTACATTGTCACACATATGATAACTGATGCCATTCCAAATTGTACGAAAACTACAACATCCAATATATCTTGAACGCCTGAACAATATCTATAAAATAAACGTGGAAACGTAAATAACAAAAAATATTTATGCATCAGAATTAACGGATATAGTAAAGTAAGTTGTAAGAAAAGCAAAAAATGAAACAAAAACTACAAGCAACATCGAAACCTATAGGTCTCCTAATTATGACATGACTTAATAATTAATGAAATAATTTTGACTACTTAATACCTTAAAATAATATCATAATGTCGTAAATACTTGTTAAGTTCTAATATTTGTAACTGTTCCTGTCCTTTGCAATTTAATTTGGGATTCCTTTTTAAGTTTGTCAGCTTATATTGTAGTACTTTAATTTGACTAACTGCTATTAATATTAAACCAGCAATAAATGTATCCACATTGATATTGTACATCATATGGCCGTACATTCCAAAAGATTGATAGATAAACAAGTATATAAAATACTCATTTTTCATATCGTCGGCAAGAAAATAATATTTGCATACTGGTAGTTCTAATTTTGCATTCCAAATAAAGCTCACTAATATTGGTATAAATATAACTGAGATGTATGCGAGGTTGCATATACTCGCATATGTTTTCCAACCAATTTTGTAAATGTAATTGTAATTCTTTACAATACACATAGAATCGGGATCTTCGCCGTTAAACTCATCGCAATCCATGAGATCAAAAATGGATACTATTTTCTTTCTATTTATAAGAATCATCAGAACTTTCACGGTTACACCAATTTCAGTAAAATAAAATATCACTTCTTGGATGAACATCTCAATTTTTTTAGGTGTATAGAACAAGTTTATTGTGAGTAAAATATTATAAATAACTACATTTATAGAAATATAAAAAAATGAAAAGTATTTGTAGTATTTGTGTAGGAATTTTCCAGGCCATATGCCGAATAAATTCCAAAAAAATTTGTTGCATTTAAAATTGTCCGATTGCGGCGCCCACATATTGAGTAAAATGTCGAATGAGGCATATTCTTCGTTATAAATTCTCATATTTATCCTGTTTCTTAAATAAATAACGCAATAATGCCTATGTAATTTTGTAAAATGTATCGTTATACGAGAATAAATTACCAATTCTACTTTCTATACACCTTTGTATCACGTTTTTATTTCATAATGCATGTAGTAATAACCCTATACGAGGTAGAAAAGTGGATAATATAACCGTCATTACCTAAGGGTTAATAGTTTCATTATAGACGTTCTTGATTTTTTTATAATTTGCAAAATGGCCACTTACAAATCTCGTTCCACAGAAAGCTCCAATGGGGACAAAATTATTATAAGTCTAATATGATAACAGAAAATTGATAAAAAAAAATATTATCGCAAACAATAATACCGTAATATTTGTCTGGTTACAACATAATAATAAAAATTTCCGAGATGATTCCAATTTTTAAAATATACCTATAGATACATTATACAGATAATAATAATGACTGTCACACGGTATGATAAAAAAAATATGCGTTATTATAATATTTTTTACAATACATATATCTAATTTAGTAATAACATATACCTCTTGTAGCAAAATTAAAACTAATATAATATTAAAGAAATTTTGGTATTACCCATTATCATGCAAATAACAGATGTAGCTATCTGACTTGGGTATTTCATAACTCATAAAATAAATCAGTTGTATATCTATAGTACGTATGATTATAAGTACTTGAAATTAATATTTCAATCAAAATTACGTCCGTGAACTCTACGCTATAGAGATCAACCGTTAAAATAGAACTCTTACACCGATGTTATTTGTATGATATTACTACTACCGCAGAGATCAAACTAAATCGGAAACCTCATTTCCGTGTTATATCCTTCTGGATTCGGAGAAAGGAGTAGATTAAAACAATGGACGTGTTTGCAATTTCGAAAGCGATGCAACCCTTCGGGTGCGATTTAATTGCAGGGGCTGAGTCGAGACGAGGGGTGGGAATCATGAAAATCTTCAGCCTTATTCTTAGTAGCTTCGGATACCGCACACGGCTCATTTAATGCATACTGATATTATCCTTTAACTTTTCTTGCCTAACTTTCTAATTGAAATTTCCGCTTCAAAAAGATTCTCCTTCGCTATTACTAGAGTATTTGTCCTAGTGAAGAAATATAGATATATAAAAATCGTATGAAAATATTTATTTATTAGTAGTTAATATTGTATCTATTACTAACAATATACCCGATCATTGCTTCTTTATTATTACTAATATGACACGTGAAAGCCGCGAGACAATTATGCATGTGTTACAACAGCTCAACCAATACTGAAAAAAATTTTAAAATATTGTATTTCTAATGAAACTGGACATAATATAAGCCACCTAACGATATACATAGCAATAACAGGCTACGAAACTCTACTACGCGAGTAAAAACTAGGTAGCATCTAATTTCTCAGATTAATTTTACTCTTAATTTTGCTTTCTTCCACTCGAATTGGTACAATAACACTAAAACAACACAACTCCGTTCGAGATACATCCCTCCAGGCCAAGCACAGGCTTTCGCTAATTACACAGCAGTATTTTAACCCCTCAAAAATAGTCTTCCACTCTTAAATGTAAGTAGTATGTATCTAATTATTCTGGTGAACAATTAAGTTCATGATCTCAGTTTATTGGTTAGAATGGACAATACCGTAAACGTTTTAATATTTTGTAAATATCTCTTTTTTCTTCTTTAAAAATAGCTCTTCTTTTGATTTCATTTTGTCGTATATTATATTAGAAAAACTGCAAAATAGTTTGAATTATCTCGTTACTTGGGGTCGTTTTGTTAACAATTTTAAATGGATTTCCAAAGTTAATGGTTTGTCTGAAGTCGGTATATTTATACGTTTTATATATCAAAAACGAAAATGATTATTATTTTTACAATGAAGACACATAAAAACATGTAAAGTATTTAAAATATACAAAGATTTAAAAAATACATCCGGTCTTAACAAAAACTCTGCTGATATTGGTCTAATCATAAATACATGTCAATTCTTAAAACTCCAAAGGAAGTGTGCCGAGCAGTATTCACGCGTCGCAAATTAAACTTCTCCAAGTATAACTAGGAATAAAAGACGTAGCATACCTACCTTAATGATGGCTTCAGGCCATACCTCATTGTGTTGGCCCAGCCCGGAAAATTATAGTTACTAAACTTGGAAATTCGCGCATGGTCGAGGCGTGGATTAATTTTTCACACCCGCATTGTGTAGTTGGGAGTTGAATTTTTCATTTTCAAATCAGATATTATACATAACATATGATAACAAAATATATACTGTATATATTTAAACACTTACTTTTGATTTTAAAATATATTTATATTTTCTTTCTTAATAGGTATTAATATATCAAGATTATTGGCTTTCCAGATTTTATTAACATGTAATTTTATCCTATTTCTATTTACTTATAGCAAAGATAATATAATATAATATTACATATTTGTAGTAGTCTACTGTGATTTTACTGCGATAATATCGCAGAATCAAAATTACAGCAGTGGAACTAATTAAAAAGTGTGTAAATCTTATTGGGTGACTACGTGAATAGTTATGTATTATGTAATTCTCTTACTAATACCGATAAGCGTTGGTTACCATTTTCTATAACAATGTCATTCTGGTGGTTTAAGAGACTGTTTCCTATTTTCTATTTAAATTTCTATTTCACTTCTCCTCCGCTAGCTGTGTTATATTTCACAGCAATTTTTCTCTGCCTCGCGTCGACTTCCTCTTTTTTAATTAAGTGAAACTAAGAGGCCCTTTTGTTACGGCGGGCCCCGCTTGCTAATTGCCCGCCAGTCAGTCACTTGTCATCAACAACGCTTTATTTGCCCACTTGTGTTTGTAAGACAAATCCTTAAGCAGAAAGAAAGTGGACTCTGATCGGTAAATTGCTTTCTGAAGTGATTATGTTTCACATTAGAGTTTCTTAATTGGTTTTTATTGAATATCAAAGATTTTAATTTTAATGTAGGTATTATACTTATGTTCACTATACTGAGTACAAATATTGTAGATAATTACAAACAAGACGTTAATATAATTTTTAACAATTGCAATTAGAGAAGAAAAAGGATTTAGCTTTTTTAATTCGAAATCCATTCAAAATAATAAAATTAACATTCGGTATAAAAATAGTAATTACAGTAGATCAAAGTAAGTGCACCTACTGATCTTTTCATAAGGGTTAAATAAATGATTCTTTAAATTCCTTATCTGAAAAACTATATATGTAGGTATACTAAGTATACCTACGGTACCTCATCAGATGGTAAGCGATCAACATAAACAGCGTTAAGGATTCGAAATATCTTGTACCTATCATAATTTGAAATCTATACCTAATTCTATAACCATAAACATTAGCACTTCAATATTTTACAAAATAATAAAAAGCACGCTACTAATTGTTTAACATTTACACATACATACTCGTATATACCTGCTAGTGTCAAAGACTATGATTGAATTATGGGTTAATTTTGTTATTCTTCTTTCTTTATTAGGTATAGAATACCATAACATATTAAAGACATATCTTTAATATGTTATGGTATTCTATACCTACTTATATTATTATGGTAATATGCCCATTTCTATAACCTATACTATAAATAAATTTATTGATATATTAGGTATCGTTAGCATCTAAAGCTAGTTCTAAGGCAATCGCCATAGGATAAAAAACTATTTTAGAGACTAGATTATCTGTAAAGCTTCTACGTGTGTCCTGTTTAGTATGCATTAATCACGAGTGAGCGGCCACCAGCGTGATTGAAACTAAATCCCTTAGGAAGTCGCTTTACCGCCAACTGATTACTGTCCGCAACACCACTACCTACGTAGATTAGGATATTTAAATGAAAATAACGATATTCAAATGCTGAAAGGTTTCCAGATATGTAGATTAGTTTTAAATAAGCGTGTCCTATTTTAATGTATTTATTTCAAAATTCTAAAAATACAAAAAAGCAAAAAAGTTCTAATTTATTTACATATTTATTGTTATATTGTTAAAATATTACTTAAGATGGGATAATTTACATAATACGAAATAAAAAGTTATAAGTATATTTGAAATTAACCTATATTTTAAAAATACATTTCATTGTTAAACTTTATTATTTTACACAACTCATTATATATTAAATTACATTAATTACTATCTACCACAAATTTTTCTTCTTTCGCTTCGCTTAAAAAAATACTCCACATACAACCCAAACTACGTCTTTGCTATGTAATAGTCAAGTATAGATTATATCGACGCCGCGACGGACGTGTTTTAGTTGACTTGATTCAATTCATTTAAGCATGGGAACTTTATCCAGTTCATTAAATGAATAGAATATGAATTACAACGGTTTTAGATTAGATTGAGATCCCTTTTGTAATGAATTAATCTAATTGAATAATTCAGTTACCTAAACTTAAGCTAATATCCAGAATTTTTATTATTCATAAAATTAAACATTTTTCATATTTTAAAACATGTGAATATGTTTTTACCATTTTTATTTGGTACTACATTTTACAATACAATTTTAACAGTTATACATAAAATTTCTGTAAGCATCAATGTGATATTTACAGATACCTATATAGATACCTATTCATGAAAATAGTTTTGAAACCTTCCTCTAAAAAGTAAATGATAGGTATATAGATATATAGCGGTTTGTGGCTATCAATTTCACTGCCTACATTCAAAGAAACCTAACAAATAAATGGATATTTATACCAAAAATGTAACTGAAATTACAAAAGTTTGCCTAGCGAGGGACAACGAAATCATATTACCTACGCCAAATGAAAGAAAAATAGATGTTGCAATTTTCCAACTAGAAACAATAAACAATCCGCTTCGAAATAAGAGTAATTACGAGTATCCACCTGAAGCGGTGCGCGGTAATAAATCCATTTAGCG